TAAAACCCGAGGTAAAACCGATGTCTCCTCGACCAATTGCATTTTCAACAGTCAATGCTTATTCAAATATAAAAAAAATACGATTTGGGCAATCCGTATCAGGAAAAGTCTCTTTTCCAATACTGGCTCAATAACATATATGTATGGTATATTAGACCAGAGAAATCGTTTTTGTTTACTATTGGGCAATGATAAAATTTACATTCCTACTAGTAAATCATAATAACAATTGACAGCATCTTATTCTCTGAATTTTGTTTTCATATAAAATGTAACTTGAAGATCTGAAGTGTCACTCATCTGACAAATCCCAACGACTTTCAATGACAAGTTTTGAAATTCAGGATATTTATTTGTTTCGTAACGCTCACAACAACGTTCACAAGTTATAACGTTCACAACAACGATACGTTCTATTGAGGCCGATGAATAAAAATGAATACTAAGTTTTTTTTCTCGGAAACCGTTTATTGTATCGACAATAAAGTTCCCAAATTTCATTTTGGCTTTGATTCTACAGGTTTTTTTAAATTTGAGCATTGCAAATGAAAGTTGGTCCACCCCCCGAAAACTAAGAACTAAATATTATGTTGAACGCACACAAGCAAGTGTCCCTCGTATTGACGTTATCCAATTATATTAATTATTTTGAAAGTTATTCCAGAAAAACCGATTTCCAGCTGCGTTCTTTAGGGGCCAATGTCTCTGTAACATTTTTTCATTCGATTATTTTTTGTCAACAAATTCTGATAATGTATCAGGTTCCATATAAAGGGCCTATAAATATCATTGTAGAAAATTATTGGGAGATACCCCAATATTTGAAATGATAGTGAACAATTTCATTTTAAGATTTCCTCACTTATCAAGGATATCAAGTATATTGGAGAATTATTTATTAAGGGACCAAGAGTTATGTCAAAGAAATTCTTGTAAATAATAATTGATGTGTTTTATGCATCCTTTGCATTTGAATAGTTCGTTTCTTGGCTTTCTAACAAGCATGAAACGAAATAACAAATATAGAGCCTAATTATTGTTCTTTCTCATTTCTTCAATTAGAAACATATATTCATCAGATAACTTTTATCATATAGTAGAGATTCAAAATATAGGTAGTTCAATTCCTAATAACACACTTGGATATCCTTAGGACGTCTTGTCGGGACATTCAGGACGTCCATAGGACGTTCGAATCTGGTACCGTGGACGTCCATTGGACGTCTGTGGGACGCACAAATGTCCCACTCGAGGACCAACTACGGACGTTCTTGAGGGATGTCCCTGGAAAAACTATCGAATACCTAAATCCTACAGTATACCTCATCAAGCACTACAGAGGACATCCATAGGACAACCTATCAGCAACGCTGACGGATATCAATTGGATGTCCATAGGATGTCCCAGGGACGTACGAATTATTCTTGAATTTGAATTTTTCTGGGTCCCTCTAGGACCAGATCTTGCATAACTGATTAGGACATCCAATTGAGTTGATGGTCCGTAGAAGGTCCCCAAAAAGTTTCCCAAGGATGTCCAATGGACTTACGTGAAGGACATTGACGAGGAGTACTTATAGCCTACGAGCAATCATTCGTCTGCGAGGTGTAAGTTAACGTCCTCGCAGGGACAACATATTGAAAGTACAGACTGGGACGTCCATAGGACTTTATTTCTGGAACATCCGACAAATATCCTTAAGGAACATTTCGATTGTTATACGATCCTGGAAATATTAAGGGCATCTGTGCAGAGATGTTTGAAAGAATGTACCATCAGGGACATTTCATGGTTGTCTAGAAGGGACATTATATAAGATCTGAAGTCAAACCAGAATATGTACTACTCGGGACATCCGATGGATGTCCCTAAAGGAACGTTTGAAACCATATCCCATTAGGGACATGCCAAGGACGTCATTGCATGGACATTCTCAATATGTATCACGTGGAATGTCTAATAGATGCCATTTCTAGGACATTTGAGATGATGTACCATCTGGGACATTCCGTGGACGTCCTTGCTCGGACATTGCATCAGATGTACGGGATGGGACGTCCCAAGGACACTTATTTTTGGTTCGGGACATTCGGACGTGAATTGTACCAAATAGGGACGTCCCTAGGACGTTGTGAGCTATTAGGGATGTTCTGCATGGTATTACCCAGGAAAGTGAGAGTTTTCTGTTCAGCATGACCATGACAGCATATGACAAGTCGTTAATGTTAAATACCTACTTGATTCGAGTGCCATTTCTACGAATCTCGCATCAGAACAGTAAATTCGGGTTAATCATAACAGATTATTGACTAGTGGTTTATAATATGACGAAAACTACCTTGGTAGTAAAAACACACTTTACGCCTCGAAAAGGAGTAATAATGGTAGGTTTTATAGCTAGTGGTGGAAAAAATTCATTATTGCTATAGAGGAGTTAAAATTGATCACTCAGGTTGAAAACATATTGCAATGTGTTCGAAGTTGGTGATAGATGAAAAATAGGTATTTATTATACAAGGGAAAAAAGTAGTAGATTCAAGCTCCAGGTTATTTATTGTGTTGTCTCCCGACGCGTAGCGGAAAATTTACGAAACCGCGTATTCAAGATTCATGGAATGGCCTATTTGACCTATTTTTCTGAACTGGTACAGCAACAAAAGCCATCAACAGTGTTGTCAAATTATTCAATGATTGAGAGTATGTTACAATCCAATAATAATGTATACATTTCATTTCAAAATATCCCAAACTAATTACATTCCTGAAACAAAATGGGAAAGGTTACAAGCCCTGCGTCCAGCAACAGCAAAGGATCGTCGCCTGTTCTATGCATATCGCAATGGAAAATGTATCAATCAGGTTGTGGGTAAAAATCAGTTTCATAAGGTACTTGAAACAGTAGCAGTTTTCTAAAATTTGAAAATGCTACCTCATATTTATACAGGCCATTCATTTCGAAGATCGTCTGCTATACACTTTTAGTTGAATCTGGGGGAGATTTGCTGACACTAAAGAAACATAGCGGTTGGAAGTCATCAACGGTCGCTGAAGGATATATTGATGAATCGGTATCACACAGAACAGAAATAGCTAATAAAGTATACAGAACTTGTGGCATTGCCGAAATAACACCCGATTTGCAACCAGGTACATAACGGCAGTTGTGTCCATGGCAGAAAGAAATATAATTTCAACACGAGAACATTCTACTGTTGTTCCGAATACTTCAAGGAATGTGTCGTTCATGCAATGCACATTCAATATTTGTTGTACTTTTGATATAAAGGAAATGTAACTTTAGTTCAATAACATATTCTAAATTAATTATCTACCTTACTTATGTGTATCCGGGAAAGAAGTTCTCACGTTTTTCCCACGGGAAAAAAGTAATTTTTGAAAAGTGACATTTTTTAAGCTGTCAACAGAGATGAAATGTCAAACTTTTTTCCCGTCACAGAAAAACATTATCATGTTTTCGCGGACCTTCAAAGCGAACATAAATAAAATGGTTGGCAGCGAAATGTCTTTCGTGCTACCAATGTTGCCTAACCCGCCGAAGTTTCAGAAGGGTTACAAATATTAACAGATCTCGATTATATTATGTTATGTTCAAACTGTATGAGGTAGCATTTTCAAGTTTTAGAAAACTAGCTACTGTGTCAGGTACCTTATAAAACTGATTTTCACCCACAACCTGATATGGTATAGAGTTATTTATGTAATAATAAATTGAGTAAATTTGTATTTTTTTTTTCTTCAAGTTGGCTTGTCTCTGATTCAGTGACTCCATTAATGCTCTTCCTTACGTAGCAAAATTTAGCGAAGTTGGGAAGTTGCCACTTCAGATATTCAAAGTTCATAAGAATTTGCACTTTTTCTGATAGCTGTCTATCACAATAATTCAAAGTACTTATTTTGAAATTGAGACTTCTATGAATTCAGACTGAAACAGGGGCGTCCGCAGAAATAATCTCAGGGAGGGGCAAGGCACAATAAATAATGTACAATATTCAGAACAAATCAAAAAAACACGACCTATAAGCGATTTTACACCGACAAAAGCGGGAATACAGGGTATACACTCTCTAGGCTAAAACATTTTCCGGGATTTTTCTGGCAATAAATCTACCACTATGTTTGCAGCAGCTTCTTCAATAGTTTTTCCACACATTCCTGCAATATTTATTGAAAAAACTTTGGATAGCAATCAAAAAAATATGCTACCACACTTTTTCGATGTTCACAAAAAGCAATATGGCTACTCTTCTTTATCGGTAGTCATGATAATCAAACTTGATTATGTGATTATTGTGGTCAGATTTTCATTTTCAGATTGACAATAATTGATTTTATCATAAGATTCTTTCAAATGAAATCGTCGAGTAGTGCGAAAAATGGTATATAAACTTCGGAAGTGAGTTCTTTCTTTCCTCAGTGCATTGTAGCACCCTCTGGCTACAAAACCACCTCTGGAAAAATCATGCACTCTACTCTCTCGATATATAATCTACTATTATTCTACATAAAACATGAAATAAAAAAAAATTAAATTTATTGAATTGACATCACATAGGTATTCTGTTTACAGCCAAAATTACAATAAAAAATTGCACGTGATAATAATCAAAATCTTGTTCAAACAAAACATGGCATTCTTATAGAGTCTTGAGCAAATTTATCAATAACTTCGTTGATAAAATTAACTCTATATCTATAATAAGCGCTAATCAGAATAGGAATTGAATAATGCAAATGTATCTTGTTTAGAAAGTATCTGAGTAAAGACCAGGCGCTATGGGGGGGGGCAAGCGCCTCCCCTTGCCTCCCCCTCCGGACGCCCCTGGACTGAAAATTGAGCTTCTTTGAACGATGATTTCAAAGAAAAATGATATACTATTGATGAGAATAATACAACTTTTGTCCTATTTCTACGCTTTCGTGGATTGGAAGCTTTCATTAAACCACTCGCAATACTTGATCATCAATTCTCTTTTCTCACCTGTTGCTGAAGCGCGCTCTGAAATTTGTTGAAGTTCGACGACGTCGAAACGTCGCAGCAGCAGAACGCCAAAAAATTCGCCACACAAATCACCAAAGATCCCTTCCGGCACACACCCTTCACCACCATCATCACTTATATTATTGTCACGACTGAAAAATTGTTCATCAATATTAAAGAGTGAGACTCGGGCTATAGTTCACCATTTACTACATCAACTCTAGCGTTTTCGGCACTGGGCCATCATCAGGAGAGAGTATCTGAAAAGTGCATTTCTTCTTGAAAAATTTCAATGTGATCACAAATGTGTGAGATTGAACATGTTTTCGTTAATTTTCGAAAAGTAGATGAATAATGACATTTTCGACTAATTAAAAGCTTGTATTTTGTATCATTAATATATAGCAACTAAACAAATTTCTGGATTTTTTTTCCTCGTAGGAAGGAGCATAAGATTACACTGAACAATTTCTGACGTTTATATGTAAAATGACATTTTCATTCAACTTCAGATCACGTCGAATACAATTCCTAGTAAAAAATAATATTTCTACCATTTTTAACTAAATGAATTTGCAAAAAACAGATTGGGCTACTATATACTTCTTTTTTATCATTTATATAATATTATAATCATATTCTATGTGAGCAAATGTGGTGGTACCCACTAGTTGAATTTACGCCACAAATCTATTTCATATTGATCATTCCGTGTATAAATAGTATTTGATGCAATCATTCGTTATTCAAAATCATCGCAAATATATTTTTTTCCGAAAGTCATCGTTATCTGAATTTTGGCTTTCGCATTAAAAAAGTAGGACCACATATTTCGACGCTGCCAGATTTGTAATTAGTAATTACCTTATGAGATTCAATGTGACCAATGACAACAGTATTCACATTCACAGAAGACAATAGTTCGACCTGGTCCCTAATAATCACTTATTGATTACTTATATATACTTGCGAGATGCTTCAGTACCAATAAAAATATCCTAGTATTCTTATAATAATAATCGAGATTTTATTATTCAAACCCAAATTATTTTGTGGCACTGGCAACAGCGTTCCCAGAAATACAACAAGAGAAGAAGAATACGAACTACATTGTCAACCTAATTTACTAATGTCACCTTCATCTGAATTTAAATCCTTGTTTTATCTAGTCAAGATGCGAATATTCAAAAGATATTCCTTTTATTATTATATCTGATTCTGTGTTGTGTTCTGTGTTATCTGCAGTATTCAGTACGGAAAATTCACTAGGGTCTAGGGCGAGTACTTTCCGAGGAGGCAAAATTTTTTGATATTTTCATTGAAATGGCGTTTTCCCGCTTCTTTCATGCTAAGAAATATCGTGAATTTCAATAATTATTAAAAAAATGTACAAAGCTCTGAGAAAAAACGGTGTGCGACAGTGAACTAGAGTGACGGTTAGTATTTAATAAAATAAATAATGACATCAAATTTTTCACTGAAACAGGCCCAGTCCATCGATACTAAATAGTATTTCTTGTCCCTTGTGAGAAAAAATATTTCTACCAACTTAAGTAAAATTAATTTGTGAAAAACTAAGAAATTCAGCTTATTTTTCATTATTTTGTGTAACTTCAGAAAGGTAATTGTGTTTTATTTAACCTAACGACGATGTTATGGATATGAATTGTAACAAAATATATTTCCACCAACTTAGTGGAATGAAGTTTGTCAAGAATAATAGTTCGAACTACAACCAACTGCCTCATTAATATTAATATTTCGCCTAATCATCCCAGTATTTTTTGCGGTGCAAAATTTTCTTACCGAATACCACTCTAGCTTCAATTGAAAACAGGTAAATTATCGGTATAATTGAAGCTCTTGTGGTGAAAGTGAAAATTCACTTGTCAAATAGTCATACCGAAGATTGGCATTATGTTTGACTATTTGACAAGTAAATGCAAGAACTTCACAAACGATGAGGTTTCCAGAAAATTCTTAGTCACACGACATGTTTCACTAACACAGTAGCTTCATCAGGTGAAATACTGGTACAATGAAAAAAACTAACCTTGGCTTGCCTAAAATTATAAATATCCTACTTTCCCAACCTGAAGGATTAGAATTACCTGTGGAAAGGTTCGATGAAGCTTCATTTTCGGAAAATAGGCACAATATCTACATTAAAATATGGTGTAACGGATTAACTTTGATCGTTAAGTAAAATGTTAGAATTTTTGAGTTTGTTGATTTCTAATGATTCAAAATTATTGAGTTTTATTCTTTTATTTTCTACTTGTAGAATTTCGAAATTATCGTCAAAATTATGGTTTTCTTCTAATATATGGTTGGCGTATGTTGAATTTCTTTTTCGAAAAATTCAACTCATGTTCATGAATGCGCTGGTTAAACGTACGACCTGTCTGACCGATATTTACCTTAGGGCAAGATCCACAGTTGCGTTTGTATACCCCTAATTTTTCGAATTTGGAAGTTTTGTCTTTATTATTTTTGATGAACCTTTCCAACGTGTTATTTGTTCTATATTATGCTACTCTTAAGTTCTTTTTATGTAGAAATGAAGCTAATTTCTCAGTTGATGATCCGAAATAGGTTAAAGTTCTATAATTTTGATTATCATTTTTGATGGTGGGATAAACTTCTTGAATAGCTTTATTATGACAAGTGAGTTTCCAACTTCATTTATCTACTTTTCGGAAACCAACAAAAACATGTTCAGCCCCACACATTCGGAATCACATTGAAAATATTCAAGAAGAAATTCACTTTCCAGATACTCTCTCTTGTTGATGGCCGATCGCTGAAAACGTTTGAGTCTCACTCATTAATATTACTAAGTATACACAACCTTTTCTCTCACTGAAGAATTGTTGGTGCGCGCTAGTTCGAATCCAGATCAACCCTTCACCACCATCATCACTAATATTATCGTCACGACTGAAAAATCGTTGGCGCGCGCTGTTAGCTCGAATCAAGATCAAGGATCAGAACGGTCTGCGTGAAGTCTCGCGAGAAGATAATCGTCGATTGCGGTAGGCTCTGGGAGCGTGTGACACTGTCTTGGTCGTCCGATTACTCTGAGTGGTTGTGGGGCCGTTGAGGAACGTCAACTCCGCCAGATGACGGTCCTTTCTCTCTGCGGCCTCCGCCAAAAATTCGAATAGTCGCGTGCATGGTTATAATATGGTACCTTGAATTCGTCGTTTCTGCGCATAACGTCATTGCGGAATCTCTTGTATTGAGCATGACTGCATTGGTCCAAGAAAATAATTTGTTTGTATATAACGAAAGAGATGATATTCTTGTTCCGAAACAATGATTTATTCAACAAGTCTCTTGTAGGAAAATTAAGATATGCATGGTTGGAGACGTCTATTATGTTGAAGTGAGAATGAAATCAATTCATATTGACAAAACCATTTACTTATTTCAGGAAAACCATAATTTTGAGGTGAGAAATCCATCCACCAAGTGGAAACAATCATTTTCCTAATTTGCAACTATGGATTACTATTATTGAGAATTGTTCTCTTTCATTTCAAAATAAACAATTTATTCTAGTCAAAATTCTGTTAATCTTCAATAAAAGTATTGATATTTTCGATCCGAATTTATGAGTTTTTCATAATGAATATTCAGCTCATTCTCTCCAATGTATTTTTTGTTTCAAAATATTGACTGCTCAGTTGAAAATATCATAATGTTTTTGATTCAAAACTGTGAATGATTCCTAATGAGATAATTAAACTCCTCAGAATATTCGTGTAGAAATATATTTTTGTTTCTTTAGTTGACCATAATCCCATGTGTAGGTACTTCTTGGATCAGTTTAGTCCATCATGACCCCAAATGGTTATAGAATAATCCCATGCATGCATTGATTTCGTCTTCTTGAGGTTTTGCTGAAAATGATAACGGTCACAAACAATGACATAAGTATTATAATTGATTAAAAACTCAAACTCTATAATAATCGTGGCTCCAGTAATATCATGCCTTCTGGAAGATATCGGGTATATAGATTCGAGATACTCGGCAGGAAACTTTTTCTCGCCTAATTTCAAGGTTCTTTCAAGTCTTTGAAATACCTCATTTGTAGATAATACTTCTTCATTCATCAACCAGTCGTCATTTTGCTACAAAAGAATTTCGTATTACAGAATGAGCATATTTTCATAGCAGGATAATACTAAATTCCAGTTATTCTGGTTGAAAATTTGTTGATTCACTCACAATGACTACCGAAATTTGCAAATACCTACTTACCAAGGGAATTCAATGTTGTACCTTCACCAGCTCTCGACAAGTTCAGCATTTGTTAGATATTTATGTTCTAAGACAATTCACACCTATACACACTCAATATAAAACATTCAAAATTTTCAAACTACGCAGCTTAATGCCGTTTCGCCGCTGTGGGCCTGTCATAATGATGTGAGCATTGTCAATAATGATTGTTGACTGGGGACTGACTTCTGGCAACAGGATTGCTTACCTTTGATTTTCGAGGCATATTATCTTCATTCAAAGAAATACCTACTCATAGACTTGAATCTAGTAACTAAAGTATTGAATCAAAATGTTGCTTCTTTAGTTAGAGAAAATATTAATATCATCAAGTTGAAGATATTACATTACCTTCATTTGAGAAAATTGATATTCATATCTTTGAATCAAGTAAGTATGGCATAGAATAGAACTATCAGAAGTCTTCGAGTTGATGAAATTGTAATATCAATATGATGAAATTAGAATGCTTCATTTGAAGAAATAATTATTTATATTTTTGTATCAAGAAAATTACGTATTGCCTCAACATATTCGGTTTTTGCAACTTGAGAAAACTGAATATATCATTCGAAGATATGAGCATTCTTTAATTTGAAGAAATGTATACTTATAATCTTGGATCGAGCAATAAATTTATTGAAACAAAATAGTACGCTTCTGCGAATTGAAAAATCCGTTTTGATTGAGTTGAAGTAATTAATTTATCAACTGAATGATTGCATTCTTGGCTCGAGAATATATTTCAATAATATGACACTATTTTCTTGAACATACCAGATTTTTTGACTCAGAAGAATATGCTCAATTCAAAGCAGATATATCATTGAATTTTCAAGAGA